GAGTAGCTGAGATTACAGGTATGGGCCACCACACTCGGATGATTTTTGTATTTTCAATAGAGACAGGGTTTTACCATGTTGGCCACGCTGGTCTCAAACTCCTGACCCCAGGTGATCTGCCCGCCTCAGCCTGCCAAAGTGCTAGGATTACAGGCGTGAGCCACCGCACCCAGCAACTGACTTTTAGCTTGAACAAACACACACATCCCCCCAAGAATATATACAGGAATTGTGAAATGTTAACAATTCTTGAATCTAAGCTGGGGACATATGGTTAGTCACTGAACCATTCTTTCAACTTTTCTGTACGTCTGATGTTTTCCAAATATAAAGTTGAGAAAAATAAATAAATGCAAAGGGAAGCACTTCAACAAAAATCTCAAATCAAAATACATTTACTAAAGGCTTGCCACGTTTCAGGTTTTGTTGTTTATTTATTCATCCAGTCATCCATTCAACAAGTATTTCTTGAATACCAAGCACTGAAGAATGAGCAAAACAGACAAACCCCTGCTTTCTTGGGGCCTACATGCTCAGGATGGAAGGAGACAATGAACACATTGAGACGTGATATGCCAGGTAGTGATAAGCATTTTGGAAAAAACTTAAGGGCATCACTTTATTTTGTGACAAGAAGGCTGTCTCTGAAGAACAGAGATGGGAATAGAGTGGAAGAGATAAGAAGTGAGAGAGTGAGCCATTTGAGTATCTGAGGGAAACATGTTCCAGGCAGGGAAAAAAGCAAGTGTGGAGGCCCCAGGGTGGGGAAATGAGGCCAATACAGGGAGAAAAGTGATCAGGAGGGAGGGTGGAAGGAGGTAAGATCAGAGAGGAACAGGGTCGGACCCTGATACCTCCAATTTGATTGAGTACAATGTAAAGCCACTGAAGGGTTTTGAGCAGAAAAGTGACATGATCTGACTTCCATTTTTAAATGGAGGAGGGACAACAAGGGGAGGGGCAAAGTGGACACAGGGAGAGCCAGGAGGAGGCCCCTGCCAATAAGCCAGACAAGAGCTGCTGATGGCGTGAATGACAGGGGCAGTGGTGGCCAGTGGTACAAGGTCCTGCCTCAGCCCAGCTCTCCAGCCTCTCCTCTCGGCAGGGCCCCCGCTCCTAATATCCTGGTAGAGCTGAAAGAACTGCTGTGGTTCTCCAAGAGCACTGGGCTCTTTCAAAATCCTGGGCCTCTGCTCAAGCTGCATACTCTGCAAAGAATGTCCTTTCCTACTTTGACTGTTTGACAAAGCCCCAACTCTGCCTCTAAGGCTGAGCTCAAGTGTCATCTCTCCAACATGCCTTTCTTGTCACCCTCCTCTTCCACTGGCATGACTGAACTGCTCCCCCTCTACCACAGCACCCATCAGTGGCTTTCTTCTGCCCATCCCAATGATAAAGGGGCAAATTTACTTTGGAATCAGGCCTATCTGAATCTAAAACCCTTTGTGTTTCCAGAGATCTGTGCCACAATGCAATGTTTTGCTAAGTCTGAGCTATCCAATATGGTGGCCATGAGCCATACGTGACTATTACGACTTGAAACGCAGCGAGTTTGAATTTAGATGCTAATTAGACACCCATTTTCAAAGACTTAGTATGAAAATAAGAATGTAATCTATTTCATTCATAATGTTTTCATATTGATTACATGTTGAAATGACTGCAGTGGCTCACATCTGTAATCCCAGCACTTTGGGAGGCCACAGTTGGCAGATCACTTGAGCTCAGGAGTTCGAGACCAGCCTGGACAACATAGCGAGACCCCATCTCTAAAAAAAAAAAAATTATTAGCCAGGAGTGGTGGCTCACTCCTGTATTCCCAGCTACTCCAGAGGCTGAGGTGGGAGGATCACTTGAGCCCAGGAGCTCAAGGCAGTGAGCCGTGATCATGCCACTGCACTCCAGCCTGGGTGACAGAGCGAGACCCTGCCCCCATCCCACCATGACACCAAAAAATACACGTAAAAAAGAATTGGCTGGGCACGGTGGGTTACGTCTGTAAGCCCAACACTTTGACAGGCCAAGGCAAATGTATCACTTGAGCCCAGGAGTTTCAAACCAGCCTGGGCAACAGAGTGGGAACCTGTCGCTATAAAAAATTTAAAAATTAGCCAGACATGGTGGTGCACACCTGTAGTCCCAGCTACTCAGAAGGCTGAGGCAGGAGAATTGCTTCAGCTGGGAGGTTGAGGCTGCAGTGAGTTAGTGAGTCGTGATTGCGTCACTACACTCCACCCTGAGTGACAGGGTGAGAGACCCTGTTTAAAATTTTAAAAAATCGAATTGAAAGCAAGGACTCAAGATACTAATGTTCATAGCACCACTATTCACAATAGCCAAAAGATGGAAACAACTAAGAGTCCATAAACAGAAAAATGGATAAACAAAACATAGTATATACATACAATGGAATATTACTCAGCCATAAAGGAAATGTAATTCTGATACATGCTACAACATGAATGAACCTTGAAAACATTATGAGCTTTGAATAAATATATATGAAATAAGCTAGACACAAAAGAACACATATTGTATGAACGCTCTTATATGAGGTACCTGGAAGAGGCAAATTCAGAGACAGAAAGTAGAATTGAGATTACCAAGGGCTGGAGGGAAGGGAAACGGGGAGTTACTGTTTAGTGGGTACAGAGTTTCAGTTTGCAAAGATGAAAAAGTTCTAGAAATAGACAGTGATGACGGTTATACAACACTGCAAATACCACTGAATCTTAAACTTAAGAATGGTTAAAATGGTAAATTTGTTACATATATTTTGTCACAATTTTTAAAAAATCTGTTTCTTTTTACCCATTTATTTATTTATTTATTTAGAGACAGGGTCTCACTCTGTCACCCAGGCTGGAGTACAATGGCACAAACATAGCTCACTGTAACCTCAAACTCTTAGGCTCAAGCAATCCTCCTGCCTGAGCCTCCCAAAGTGTTGGGATTACAGGCATTGCCCCTTTTTGCTTTTTAAATGTGGCTACTGGAAAATGTAAAATTATACATAGCTTGTATATTTCCATGGGGAAGCCCTGGGGTAGAGACAATCCTAAAGACCTGCCTCGCAGGGCGCGGTGGCTCACGCCTGTCATCCCAGCACTTTGGGAGGCTGAGGTGGGCGGATCACCTGAGATCGGGGTTTGAGACCAGCCTGACCAACATGGAGAAACCCCATCTCTACTAAAAATACAAAAAAATTAGCCGGGCATGGTGGCAGGCGCCTGTAATCCCAGCCACTTGGGAGGCTGAGGCAGGAGAATCGCTTGAACCTGGGAGGCGGAGGTTGCAGTGAGCTGAGATCGCGCCATTGCACTCCAGCCTGGGCGACAAGAGTGAGACTCCATCTGAAAAAAAAAGGCCTGTCTCCACCTTGGCTCTGCTGCTTCACTGCTTTGCACCATGTTTCCAACATGAAGTCACCGAAGAATAATAAAAACGACCTTCGTAAGTAAACAGAGCCGGACTCACACACGATACTGCTTCCCTTTCAACCTGGTCACTTTGGAAGGTCATGTGCCTGGGGCAACAGGATGGCCACTTTTCACATCAGTCTGTCTACCATGGAAATGGCCTTCAAAGCTTGAGGCTCTTTTTTTTTTTTTTTTTTTTCCAGAATCCTCAGAGCTGGCAGATCTTCATCCTCCCAGGAAGGATTTGACTTCTGGAAAGAGCCCAACATCATCTGGTTCCAAGTGCAGTGAATCAGGTGGCACTGAGCTCAGGAATACCATTTTTGGTCAAATACAAGGTATGATGCTCAGACTCCAAGCAGATTACTTGGGGTGGCTCATAAACTGGCCCTGAAGTAAATTCCAAGGCGGCTGCAAGAACAGCTTCACTGGAAGAAATGTAACAGCCTCTACCAGCACCACCACGTGAATACCAACGCTTAAGAATGCGTTCTCATTTCTCCGCAGTTGCACCTCATAAAGTGTGCATTTTTTAAAATGCCCTTGGCCCCAAGCTTTTTGCTTAAGGCTGTAACAAGCTTTATGAGGTTATAAATACCCGGATTCACTAGTGTTACTACTAACAGCAACATTGTGATAATAAATATTTGGAGTGGTACAATAGAAAGATAGGGCAAGAGTCGGGAAGCAGAGGACAAAAGCCCCGGCTCTATCTGCAAGTAGCTACACTTTGGGCTAATAATCTCTTGACCTCTGGAGACAGGATGTTCTCATGAGCCAAGCAAGAATAATACCTATAATACATTTAGGCCTTTAAAAAAAAATGGCAATTAGACAAAATATAACAAGAGCCATAATAGTGATTATATCCTTTGACTGAATAACTTACTTCCTAGAATTTATAGTAAGGAAACAATTCAAAAGAAGAAAAAGCCTCCAGGTAGAAAAAAGTTCACGGCAGCACTATTCATAATACCGAAAAACAGGAAGCAAGCCAGCGTCCAGCAATCAGCAAGCAGTTAACCCAGTGAGGGTACATCACCGTATAATCCCTCTTCACTAACATGGCAAACATAAACATTGTGGATCAGCTCAGTGGAAAGTCTTTGCAAAGTAACATTAATTGAAAAAAAAATAAGCAATTGTATAAACACTATGATTGGAACCATCTATAAGCTGATTTCATGGGCCAAAGATCAAAAGAGGCCACAGAAATATAAATAGTTGCTGTTAAGGTGAAGTCATGAGTTTTAATTTTTTGGACTGTTATGAAACAATGAAGTATCTAAGAAAAATCTATGCCCTACCTACTTCCTTCACAAGACTTTTGTTAGGGTATAATGACACACTGTCCAATAAAACTTTCTGCAGTGATGGAAATGTTCTGTATTTGTGTTCTTCAAATGGTAGCCACCAGCCACATGTGGCTATTGAAAACTTAACTGCGGTTACAGAGAAACTAAATTTTTAATTTTATTTAACTAATTAACAATAAAAAGCCACATGTGGCCAAAGTTTCCCTACTGGACAGCACAGGTATAATAGGAGGCTGGTTGTGAAAAGGTTCTGGAAAACAAACTGCTCTACACATACTGTGTGCGCTGTACAGCTCTCATCTAGTTCTCTCTGCACCTCTGCGCTTTACTTCCCAGCTCTCCTGCCAGTATTTCTGAGTTTTCTTTCCTGATGACCAAAGTCAAACAAGTCCTATTCATCCTGCAGATCTCAACTAGGAGACACTTACCCCTTCAACTCGCTGTGACAGGCTTTGTTCCCCGGCCATTGCTCCAGCAGCAGCAGCAGTCGGCAAATGAATGGCCAGGTGTTGTGAACAGCACTTTACAGGCAGCAACTCATGCACTTCGCCACCACGCTGGGAGGTGGTATTACTAATGAGGATGAGGAAACCAAGGCTTGGAGAGGTTATGTGACCTACCCAGGGATAACCTGGCTGGTAAGTGGCAAAGGCAAGATTCAAAGGGGCCGGCTTCTCCAGAGCCAGGGCTCTTACCTACTATGTCAATTGTTTTCAAACTGTAGGCTGTGGCCCATTAGTGAGCCACGAAAACCATTTAGGGGGCTGCAACCAGCATTTTTTCTTTTATTAGGCAGCACTTTATTTAAGTAGGTAAATAACAATAGAAAATATCAGAGAGTATCACATTAAGGGCCGGTATTATATGCTGAAGCTTTTTAAATACCCATCTACATCTGAGCATGTATGTGCTGGATCAAATTTTAGAATGCTATTTCTTATGCTTTGAGAAATATTACACTGGAATCTACTGTTTTCTACTTGATCCATTGTAATCTCTTGAACAGCAAGGATCTTGAGTATATCTTGAGTTTATGCCAGGTCCTGACTCGTAAATATCTGGTAAATGACTAAGCCTATGCCTCTGTTTCCCACCTTGAAAGCAAGAGCAGATGCCTCAACCAACAGCGTCATCATTTAACAACAAGGAGGAGCTGAGAGGCCATGAGGTTTCCCTAGACTCTACTGGTGAGTCAGGGCAGAGCTGCTATCCTGGCCTCTAGCCTTGTCCTGCTCCAGACTTGCTTACGGGTAGAGGTTTTCATACACCGGGAGACTTTCATACCTCTATCAGAATTTAACAAAAGGTGCCTAATTATTTATTACTGAACGAGGCAAATAATTTCGTGAGGTTACTAGACACTGCAAAGTTCACCCCTGAGTGCCAGACACTGCTGACAGAAGACATTAATTCATTGGACAAATATTTACTGTGAATCTACTATGTGCCAGGCACTGGTCTAGTCCTTGTCACGGAGTTTCCATTCAACTGGAAGTACTCAAACACACACATACACATGCAATGTCAGGGGTATTACAATACATACAGGAAGGAGGAAGAGGGCACTATTTAATATGAAGTGGTCGGGGAAGGGCCTCTCTGCGAAGGTGACATTTCAACAGAGGAAAGAAGAAAGCAAAGGAATAAGTCATTTAAACATCTGCCAGAGTATCCCAGGATGGAGGGACAGCAAGGGCCAAGTTCCTGAGGCAGGAATAAGCGTCATGATCAAGAACAGTCAAGTAAGCAAGCTGCAGGCCGTTATGAGGACTCTGGCCATTCTCTGAGTGAAAAGGGAGCTACTGGAAGGTTCTTAGCAAAGAAATCACATGGTCTGACTCATTTCAAAATGATGCCTCTGGCTGTTTTGTTGACAATAGGCTGTAGGGGACAAGACTGAAAGCAAGGAGACCAGTGAAGAGGCTACTTTAACAGTCAAAAGACACACTTGTACCAGGGTGGTAGCTATGGAGGTGGTAAATTCTCAGCTTATAGATATATTTTGGAGAAAAGCAACAGGAATGCTGAGGTGAAATCTGAAAGAAGTTAAAAATAATCCCTGAAGGAGGGGAAACTATCCTGTATGACACCATAATTAGGAATACAAAATACTAAGCATTTGTCAAAACCCAAAAAACTTGACAGCACAAAGAGTAAACTTTTTAATGTATGCAAATATTTTTACAAACACATAGGAAGGCCGTGGCAGTGGCTCACATCCATAATCCCAGAACTGTGAGAGGCCAAGGCAGGAAGACTGCTTGAGCCTGGGAGTTTAGACCAGCTTGTGCAACATAGTGAGACCCGGTTTTTAAAACACACCAACACACACACGCATGAAGTCAGGGTGTTCCAGGATGGAATGCAGAATGTGACATTTTGAATCTAAATGTATTAAACAACTTCACTGAAAGGGTGGCAGGGGAATAGGGTGCTGACCTAAGTAACTTTGAAAATGAGTGGAGCCGTAAGACTGAAGGCAAAAGGAACTGCACGTACACACTGTACTCTAGCTGATAAGTTGTTTCCCACAGGGGATACAGGCGGAGCAATTCTAAAACCATGATACGTGTATGCTAAGATGAACAATTAAGTAAATGTATGGTGAATGGTGGGAGTCGGGTTCATCACAGGTGGAGTGGGAGGTTACAGATAAGCAAGAAAAGGAAGCTACAACAGGGGTCCCCAACCCCCAAGCCACAGACCAGTACCAGTCCATGGCCTGTCAGGAACCAGGCCGCACAGCAGGAGGTGAGCGGCAGGTGAGCAAGCAAAGCGTCATCTGTATTTACAGCCGCTCCCCATCACTCACATTACTGTCTGAGGTCCACCTCCTATCAGATCAGCGGCTGCATCAGATTCTCATAGAAACACAAACCCTACTGTGAACTGCACATGTGAGGGATCTAGGCTGAGTGCTCCTTATGAGAATCTATTGCCTGATGATCTGTCACTGTCTCCCATCACCCCCAGACAGGACTGTCTAATTGTAGGAAAACAAGCTCAGGACTCCCACTGATTCTACATTATGGTGAGTTGTATGGTCATTCCATTATATATTACAATGTAATAGTAACAGAAATAAAGTACACAATAAATGTAATGCACTTGAATCATCCCAAAACCATCCCCACCCCCAAGTCTGTGGAAAAATTGTCTTCCACAAAACCGGTCCCTGGTGCCAAAAAGGTTGGGGACTGGTGAGCTAGAACAATCCACATGGTCATGATAAGAGCTGGACATCAGTTATGTTTAGCTGAACACAGATACAGGTGGTTATATATGGAAATACTTCTACATCTGGGCATCTATACATATGTCTCTTGCTCTGTCCACTGCGAAGGCCTAGAAGCAAGGACATTGAGAAGCACTGAGCGTACCTACAGCCCAGATCTTGTTTTCTGGGCCATTCTCCAACAAAAGGAGCCAGGGCTCCTTGGGAAATGGCGAATTCTAGGACTGGGGCAGAAACACACTAGATGAGTCTGGAATAGAAAGAAGGTGCTCAACAAAACAAAACAAAGCAAAACACATAGAGGGGGATATGTCAAAGGGATACAGGAGCCAAGTGGAAGAGCTCCCAATGGCCAATGGAGGAATAATTTGAGCAACAAAATAAAGTAGCACTGGATTCTGGTCCAAAGTATAAAATAAACATCCATGAGTTCAGGCCAGGTGTGGTGGCTCACGCCTGTAATCCCAGCAGTTCGGGAGGCCAAGGCAGGTGGATCACCTGAGGTCAGGAGTTCAAGACCAGCCTGGCCAACATGGTGAAACTCTACTAAAAATACAAAAATTAGCCAGCCATGGTGGTGGGTGCCTGTAATCCCAGCTACTCAGGAGGCTGAGGCAGGAGAATCGCTTGAACCCGGGAGGTGGAGATTGCAGTGTGCCAAGATTGCACTACTGCACTCCAGCCTGGGCAACAGGCTGTCTCAAAACAAAACAAAACAAAACAAAACAAATCCATGAGTTCACACCGATACAAATAAATGGCTCTGTAAGCAAAAAATAAATAGGGGAACAGACAAATGTCCCACAGAGAAGAACTCCAAAAAATTTGCGTAACATTCTGCCTTTAAGCATAGGGCATAATTCCATACTCCTTAAATGTGTGCTGTACATAATGACTTTCTCAAAAAGTACAGTGCAGAAAGTGCAGGAGGAAAAGTAACTCTACACTGGAAAAGCCTGACTACTACCTCAAGCCAGGTGGCCCAAGTCAACAGATGTCAATGATAACTCATAATGATAGTATGTACTCTTGATATGCTATGATGAGAACAGCACTTTACCTCTGTGGTTGGATTAGTCCATTTTCATACCGCTTTGAAGAAAGAGCCGAGACTGGGTAATTAATAAAGAAAAAGAGGTTTAATGGACTCACAGTTCCACATGGCTAGGGAGGTCTCACAATCATGGCGAAAGGCAAAGGGGAGGCAAAGGCACGTCTTATGTGACGGCAGGCAAGAGAGCATGTGCAGGGAAACTGCCCTTTATAAAACCATCAGATCTCCTGAGACTTACTATCAGGAGAATAGCATGGGAAACACCCACCTCCATGATTCAATGACCTCCCATCAGGTCCCTCTCAAATGTGGGCATTATGGGAGTTACAATTCAAGAT